GCAGGTACATGGGGACCTGTGTTTGGTCCCAAGAATCCATAGGAAAATGCCTGCTTGTAATCTCAGTGCTGGGTAAGTAGAGACTGATCAGGCAGTCTAGTCCAATGGTGAGATTCAGGGCAATGAGAGACCTTGTTTCACAAGAGGTGGGTGGTGTTACCAAGGATGGGGCTCTACACAAATGTGTCATACGCACCTGCACACACAATACTCAGGCATAAAAGGTGTTAGATTTATTTCTTTTTAATATTTTAAGCCTCATATCAGATAATACTACTGTTTTTTTCCTCTGTTAATTAAATATACCTTAAAAATTCATTAGGTATATAGTCTATAATATTGATGCCTTTTCATATCTATTGCTGTTTTCCCATTACTGAAATTCCAAATCCCCCTTCTGGGAGATTTTCTGTTTGCTGTCTCCAAGGGTCTGTGCACCAGATACAAATACTCTCATTTGTCTTTAAAGAAAACTCTAAGAATTTCTGTCTCTTCTATTCCTGGATAGCTTTGCCATCACTGATGTCACCTATTTCCTATTACCCCCCCCCAAGAAAACACCTGCTACTACATGCCCTCAGGTCTCTGTTAGAAACAGTCATTCATTCCCTGACAGTGCTCAGTTCCTTTCTACTGCTTTTAAGATCTTTATGGGGAGGGAGGGCGCTCGATCGGAGATTGACATTTGAAACATGCGTGTTTCTAATTTAAATAAAAAAAAATCTTCATCTTTCTTTTTGTAAAAGTTCCTGCTAACTTGAAAAAAGAAGTTTAGCTATGAGGTGTTTGGGCATTTTTCACATTTGTTATTTTCAGTTCATTTTATTTTTTTTTCAGCCCCCACCCACATTGGCTCTAGCTCTTACTAAATATTTTTCACCAGCATAGGGTTTTCAGCAAACAAAACACAACCAAAAAGCTGTAATTATAAACAGACTAAGATAGGTGTGCTGGTGCTTGCCTTTAAGCTGGCAGGTACAAGGTCAAGGTTATCCTGATCTATACAGCAAGTTCCTGGTCAGCCAGGTCTGCAAATTTTGTTTCTTACTGTTTATATGTGCACAGCAGCATCTCCATCTGTACATATAAACATGGCTGTGCATCGGTATACTGGAGGCTTTTCTAATGAACACTCTGGTTCTTAGATGTGGCCTACATTCTGCACTTTTGTTATTTCTGTATTTAACACTAAGCTTTCCAAGATACCCTTAAACTTTTCTATAATCCAGGATGGCCTTGGCTCCTGCCTTACCCTCCTGAGACATGAAACTTCCTACATCATCAGTCTGGAAAGAGGTTTTTTTGAACTCTTCCAGTTCACCCTACCTACTAGGAACAGGGCAGTCTTCCCCACATACACCTTGGGCTGCGTTATTTGCTGTCACTGGCAAGGAACATAGTAGTTAGCAATCAAGAAATTTCTTAGTACAGAATTTCAAACTTACTAAGACTAAATACCCATTTCTAAATATTTCCTCCATTTTTTTCTCCTAGATGACAACAAAATAATACGCAGACAGGGGGAAAAAATGAACCTATGTACAGGGAGCAGCAGAAAACACCCAGAGAGACACATTAGCTACAGCCTGGTTGTACGCATCCTTGAGTTGGATTCCATGAGGTTCTTCTATGCCCTGAATATAAATACTCCTTACAATGAACAAAGCTATCTTGGTTTTTAACTACTTTCTCTTTCCTACTGCATCTCTCTCTTTGCTAGGCTCTCATCCCAGGCTAATACTGAACTCATAGAAATCCTCCTGCTGCCTGGTGGTGGTGGCACATGCCCTCAATCCCAGCACTCAGGAGGCAGAGGCAGGCGGATCTCTGTGAGTTCAAGACCAGCCCTGGTCTACAAGAGCTAGTTCCAGGACAGCCTCCAAAGCCAAAAAAGGAAAAAAAAAAAAAAAAAAAAAAAAAGAAATTCTCCTGCCCAGCCTTTCAAGCACCTCCATACCCATTACTGCCTCCTTTATCTGGAAGTCTTCACCTCTGAACTGTGAGCCATCCTATTTGTTAAAAACCAGGATTAAATATCTCCCCTTAAAAAATGTTTCAGGAGTCACAAACTATCTCCCATCAAGCCCTTGCCTAGGTGATTTAGTTGCTTAAGGACAATGACAATTTCTAATCCCCAGTGACTGACAAATGGTAGACATGTTAATCAATTACTCTTTTAGTTTAGTATAGGGATTCACACATTTACAGATGAATAAATTAGTGGATTTATTCATTTAGAATGGTTTTCCTGTCAGCATGAACTTCTATTAGTGTGAACTAGAAAGAACCTGTTCTAAAACTAACAAAATCCTTACAAGTCACTATCCATCCAGGCTTGGAAGAGGATTACAGTCAGCGTCACATACTGAATTCAATAGTTTTGGCAATTTACAAAGCTAAGCCTAGTATGTATGAACCTGGAGCTTATCTCTACTAAAAAAAAAAAAGGAAGGAAGGAAACAACAATTAAAGGAAAAAAATCAAGTCTTCAAATCACTACTGTCTAGATGATGCATAGCACTAACTCCCTATGACCACCATGGGTTCCTAGGGATGGACAGAAAGATCAGAGGACGGTATCCACGAAGACTTTCTAAATCTTGCTACTGCTACAAGTCTGCAAAAGCCCAGAGCACTTGGTTTCTTTTAATCCTGCACCATAAGAGAGTACAGAAGAGAAACAAGCTTTTTTGCCTAGTCTGTTCAAAATAAACATAAAAAACCTGCTAATGCCCTGAGATGGCTCCTCAGGCAAAAGTGCTTCTCATACAAGACTGACAAACCTAGAGTTCAATACCAGATGTCATGTAAAGATGGAAGGAGAGACCAGATTCTGTCCACAAGTCATGGCACATGCCCACCCCAATTATAAATTAAATTTTATGAAAATGTATTCAAGAGTATATTGAGAATGGGTCCTAAGAAAGTGCTTACTTAAACAAAAACACGTGTTTTTTAAGTCCCAGTGACATCCCTGTGAATCGTGGTCCTTTGTGGTCAAACTGGACCCACAGAAAAACAAGCGTTTGAGACCACCAACAATGCCAGCAGTGGGGGTGGAGGTGGAAAAGGAATGAAGAGAGCACAAAGAGCCCAGCCACACTCAGCCGCTCACTGGGTCACAAGTCTCTCCTCTCCCCAATTTCCTTTCTTCTCCTTCTTCCCACAAATCTCAAAACACAGGCACAAAGAGAAAACTAGAAGCACGGTAGGGTCAAACATGAAGGACAAGGGGAGAATATTAAACAGCTAGGTACAAAAGGTTCCTTTTCAAATAAACAAAAGTAAAACCTCCTCCAAAGCATAAGGGAAAAAAACCAGCTTCCACCCAAACTGTACAACTTAAAAGAGGTTAGTACTGATAAGCCCACTGTGAATCTAAACAAAGTGTAGATTTTTCCAGCAAGTAAATCAATCAGCAGCAGTGGGATGGTCTGAGCTCAAGAATAATTTGGTTCAAACCAATGGAATTAGAGGGGTGGGAAGATGAGGGATGGGGTAGGGAGGGTGGTGTGGGGTTAAGCAGCTCTGGTTTTTAATGCCCACAACTCCTGCCCCCACCCATCCTACATCCAGTCAGGCATTGGCTTGACCTAGCCAGATTTACTTTGTTCTCTTTTGCCTCATTCCCAGCAAGCTTCCAATAAGGGAATTAAGCTTTCCCCCAAGCAGTCCCAGTCCAGGAGTAACAAGCTGCTGATGCTCCTGTTGGTAACCTATTGCTTTGGCTCCTTCCTCACCGTCTGCTGACTCCCAGTGGAGGCAAAATTTAGAAACATACCATCACGTGGGGTCTCTTCGCACGGCAATGATGGAGTGCTCTGGGTTGCAGTGACCTCAATTTCTTTCTTCCCTGCCAGAGCTGTCTGTCCTGGCTGTTTCTCACCTCCCTGGCACATGAAGGGACATGAATCAAATCTTGTCTCACAAGTATCTTCCTGTCCCCTTTTCTTGCTTGTTCCTTCAGGAATCTGTTCGAGCTTACTGTGGAGATATACCCCAGCAGTGTCCAGTTCTGTCTTCCCAGAGCTGCTCTTGTCATCACTGAAGTTGATCAGTGCTTCTCTCTTCTTGGCTACTGGCTCCTCAAAGGATAAAGGGGTAGGCACCTCTGAAGCAGGCAGGCTGGGTCGCTCCCCAGTACTCAACCTGCCGCTAGCTGACTGTTCCTCAGCCACTGTCATGGAACGTCTCATGGCAGGCACTCCCAGTTTCCTGGGCACAGGGCTTGGCATTGGGCTATTGATGAGAGGTAGCAGGCCAGAAGGAAGTTCCTCTTGGGCAGGCAGCTCAGGGTACTTATCAGCAAGGTTCACAGCTGGGGGCACTGAGAGGCGGTAGCACTCAGACAGGGCTCTGCGCATTGCCTTTTTCTGCTGGGGGGCTTGGTCAAGCATAGGCCCCTCCTCAGTAGAACTCAATTTCTCCAACTCCTTATCCTGGCCTGGGCTGTAAAAGCCTGCATTCAAATTGTCCTGAGTGAATTCCACCATAGTGACTGGTGGGCTGGTGGTGGGCGAATGCTCAATAGTGGGGGCTGGGTGGGTAATAGCTACCAGTAGTGGGAACAGATTCTGAGGCTGCTCAGAGTTATCATTCATCACCCCAGTCGCCGGGCAGCTAGAGATAAAGCCATTTTCTTTTCCTGGAGTTGTAGCCCTTGAGACCTGGGGGCTCTGAGCCACTGAGTGAAAGTTGGGGCTCCAAGCACTGGTTTCCTGCTCCTTACCATATTGAGCAAGGGTGTCAGCAGCCCCAGGAAAATTCAGATCTGGCTGGCTCTTGGTCTCTAGTCCATTCTTCCCTGACACCTTCCCCTCAACTACAATGGCTTTGTCTTGCCCCTCTGTGAGTCCCAGGTGGAAGTCAGCTGTTTTCTGGTGCACTAAGTTCCCCTGTGAGGGATGGCAGGCTTCTGAAATCACATACCTGCTCTCAAGGTGACCGGAGGTTGCTTGATATGCCTTGTCAGGCTCTTCAGTGTTGAGGTCTTTGTCTAGCTTCCCCTCAAAGAAGCAGAGCTTATTATTCTGTTCCAGGAAGCTGGTATTCTTCACAAGCCGCTCTTTCAGCTGCCCGTCCACGCTGACATTCAGCCCGATTTCATTCAGTTTACCCTCTGTCCTCTGCCATTCAAATCCAGCCTGACTGATTTCTTTTGGGGAGTCCATTCCGCACTCTAGAGGCTTGCCTTTGGAGAGCTGGTCGTACGCAGCAGTGAGAGCAGCTGGCTGCTTGTCTGGAAGCGACATCGTCTCTTCCACTGCTCCCCCACTCACTCCTGGAGCTCTTACACCACCCACGTTCACACGGAGCTTGCAGTGACATCACAGCAAGTTCCCGGGATTCATGGTAAGCTCTATGGTTCTCCCAATCCCCTTTCTCCTCAAGCAGTTGGGTGCTAAATGTATTTACCAGGTGTGAAAAGGAAGAATGAACAAAAGAGAAAGAGAATGCCACTGTTTGTTAATCTGTAACTATAATTTCCTGCTAGCTAGCATTCTGTTTAGCCCTATAATTTAAAATACAGTATGGTGTCAACCCAGGCAGTGAGGATAGTAATTATTCCAGCTTTCACTGATATACATACATGTGTACCCACACATCCACTTAACTGATTCTATGCCTAGTCTGCTAAATTCACCCACTTAAAAAAACTGTTTTAAAAATAAGCAAGGCTCATTTGCCAATCAATCCTCAGCTATAAGCCCCGAAAAACAATGATTCCAGGAAACTGTTCAAATTTGCACTTAAAGAAAACACCTTAATGTAAAATTAAGACTGAGGCATTCACTTCTTACAGGTGGGTTTTGCTGTCAGAGCAGCTCACAAATTCTTTCAAAAACGGACTTGTGGCTTGTGGGTATTTGCCTTTTCTCTCTCTCAGCTCACTGGCCCACTCCCATTCTTGGGAGAGCTTTTCCCTCAATTCTCTGTTTATTTAACATATATGCACTCACCACAGAAGCCAAATCTACTTTCAAGCAATGGTTCCCTTAAGTCATGTGGGTTCCAGGGATCAAATTCAGACTATAAGGCTTTTTCACAACTAAACCCCTTCCAGTCCAACTGTCTCTATTTCTGTTTCTTATAAAAATTCAAAACCTGGCTTGGGTAGGATTTCCAAAGACCTATGAGTTCTACTGGTATCTGTACTGGGAGTGTAGTGAAGGGCTTAAATACATCAGTATGCTAGACTTAGTGGTGCACAACTTTAATACTAGTACTGACGAGGCAGATGCAAGTGGGAATTTGGGGCCAGCCTGGGCTACAATAGTGAGATCCTCTCAAAGACACCAATGCACAGGACTTTTGGACATGTATTCCAATAAAGACACCCAAGTCCAACTGTGTATGACACTTGTGCTTTTATTCTTGTTTCTTTGCATGAGCTGAGTGCTCCCTCCTACTCATTCCAAGGACTGACTGTGCAAACACACTTGACAACAGTTCATCTTCTTTTCATCTCTGTGGCTTGGAGATTTTCCTTCCCATTAGCCACAATTTAGCGCAGGCACACTCCCTTCCTTCCTTACTTGGTAGCTTACAAATCAAAATTTAGGACTGAGTGGTCATACAACACAAGTTCTAGACTGGGAGAGATCACCTTATATGATAAAACTGTATCGTGCACTGCTTGGAGCAAAGTTGATTTTGTTATCTGGTTTGTACTTCACTTCCTGTCTTAACTATCCTGTGAATGTATGTAAAACTGCTGGTGGTATATGTATATCCCTGTAGTCCTACAGACTCAGGCGGCTGAAGAAGAACCTGCCCCAATTCAAAAGAAAGAAAAACAATGACCCATTCTCTCTTTGGTTTGAGTACAAATTTGAGGGATATACAGCACTTCTGAAATCCCTTATATGCAAGTTTGGTACACGGAATTCTGTGGTTTCTGTCATCTCTGGATTACCAATGTCATAGAACTCAGATCCTTATGTTTTTTGTTGTTGTTGTTTTGTTTTGTTTTAAACTTGGGATTCTAGTAGCCACAAAGTCCAACAGCCCTCTTGCCTCATGACAATGAGGTAGCAGTGTGTCTGAATGCAGTGACCATGAGCTGGCTATCAAATGCCTACAGAAAAAGTATCATGGAAACTTGCTGCTGAGAGTCGAATTATTTTTACTTTTATTCAGTTTACCCCAATAAGTATTAAAAAAAAAAGACAACATAACAACCATCATGCATTTAAGACCTAATTTCAATTTTTAATTAATAGAAAAGAGAAAAAAGCTAACTCTCAAAATGCAACTGCCTAAAAGAAAATATTCTATGAACAGTACTGCAAGGACACTGAAAAGTGTACATAGGGTGCTGAGCAGTTCCTGTGACCGGTTCCCCTCCTTTTACAGAAAGAACATCCAAAGGGGAGGGGGGTGTGTTCTGCCCACAATCAATAGATGAAAATATAAAGGGAAAGCCGTGGTCTCATTTCTGATCACCCCGTATATGCCAGGCAAGTGTTCTTGCACTTAGGGAAATCCCCAACTCAATTCTAAGTCTAAAAAGATAAAAATATGTTTGCATGGATACATATGAGTATGTCTGGAAGCCAGAGGACAATCTGCAGAGTCATTTTGAGGAACACCATCTACCTCTTTTGAGATGGGCTCTCATTGGCTGGGAGGTCACCAATCAGGTTAGACTGGCTGAGCAGTGAGCCAGCTCCAAAGTCCTGCCTGCTTCCAACTTCCTAGCATAGAATTTACAGGTATAATCCACTTTACCATCTTCTTTCCACAGGTTCTGGGAATCAAATTCAGGCAGGCCTTCATGAATACAAGGCAAACACTTCCAGAGTGAGCTATCTCCCTGGTTCTTCCTTTTCAAGTTTATTATTTATTTGCTAATCCCCCTCACCACATTTAGACAAAGTGTCTACACAGCACTGGCTGGCCTACAACTTGCTATATATGGCAGGCTGGCCTAGAATCATAGAATTGGCCTGCCCCTACCTCCTGAATGTTAGGATTAAAAATGCATACAAAGATACCTGGCCAACTCATTTACTTTTGAAACAAGGTTTACTATGAAGCCTATATTGGCTCTTAATTATCTTCCAGCTTCAAGTCTTCAAAGTGCTAGGGTTATCCATATTCACCACCATGCTTAGCTCTGGCTCTGTTTTAATGTTCTTTAATTAGCATAGAAAAATAGTTTAATGATTTATGAACTCCATGGTAATCTTTTATTTATAAGCATTTTCTGAAAGTTCCTAGGGAGGGAAGATGACCTGTCATACCTGTTATTTGGGTGACCAGCACAGAGGTAAATGAACAATAAAATACTCTCTTATGGAGGCAGAGGCAGGCATATCTCTTTGTTCACAGCCAGCCTGCTACATAGTGATTTCCAGGACAGTCAGGGTTCTGCAGTGAGACTCAGTTAGTGGGAGGATAGATGGGCAGCAATATTTCAGTATCATTTGATCAGCTTTCTATTACTCTCAAAAGCTGACACATGTTTTCTTTTTTTTTTTTTTCAGCACTGGGATTTGAACCCGGAGCCTTAAACCCAGGGCTTTTTACTGAGCAGCGCCAGCCCCAGTTCAAGAACTAGTGATGTGGAATGCTAACTGGGCCTATGATTTGAGGTTCTATTTTATTCAGGTTAAGTGTGATAAAAGTAACATGGATTTCTAGATCTGGTCACAATGTGGTTTCTAAGACTCTTTGGTCAGATATACAATGTCCAAATGGGCTGGTACAGCCAGATGTACTGGCAGATGTTACTGTTCTTTTGTGCCTGGAGTTGATATTTAACCTGTTCAGGGCCTTAGATTTTTGTATGTTCCATGGTTGGTTTCCCTGCATTCTCATTAGTTACCAAGGCAACATTATATTCCAGATTGACCAACTGTTCTGTTAATTGTCTCCAGGAAACCATCCTAATAAATTATCATTACAATGAAAGTTAGTAATTCTAAATACAATGACTGATAGTACTTCTTTCTAATAGCCCAAGGTTAAAGTTATAATCTGTTTTTTTATTTTTTACATGGATATAATAGTTATACATATCTATTTTCAAAACCATATTTAACTGAATTTTAAGAACATATCTTAGTACGTGTTCAACTCAAGGACATCATGATTCTCCCTGATTAACATTCAAAAGTTGAGAAGTGAACAGACAAAAAAATGGAAAAAAAAAGTAATCTGATTTATGTAACCTCAAAGCACTAAAATGAAGTCAATGAAAAAACTCTATCAAGGACAATTTCCTTTTAAGCAAAGTTCTGACCTTCTAATAGCCTCTACCAAAAGAAAAGAACATGATCCAATAAAAACCAGACAGAAACACAACTCCATTGACCAAATAGTTCCAGGGTAATTTTAAGGTTATCTGTCTATGGAGGCACACAGGACTCCCTAGAGCCTTTAGGAATTTATCTTCTTTTTCCCAATCTCAATTTAAAAGGCTTCAGAGATTTCACTGGTTTCCCAATGACATCTCTACCAATCACACCACAGCATTTGCCACTTCCTTAAGATACCATGCAACTGCAGGCCACTATCATGTGACTCCTCGAATGCTTTGCTTAGCAAAGTCTTAGCAACACTTCCTGACCCATTCAGACCCCAGAACTCTTGCTCTTGTATGTGACTAATGCTAATCTGTTCATAAGATGATTTGTCTTCAGTGGATATGTCATAGGTTAAATAAAATAAGCAAGTCCCATTTACTGTTTATTGTCATAATTTAGTGAAATTCAAAAGTGTATTTTTACCATGTTTCTTGAATCTCCTAATGAAAGAATGTGAAGGACCTAAGGGTAGCTCAGTGATGGAGTGATTGTGTAGCACATGTGTGGCTCAGACCTCTAGCTTCAACACGGCAAAGAACAAAAGAATACTAGTATCCTTTGTAAGGAGATAGATAAAAATGAAACATACATTTATTTATTTATTCTTTTTTGGTTTTTGAGACAGGGTTTCTTTGTATTGTTTTGGAGGCTGTCTTGGAACTCACTCTGTAGTCCAGGCTGGCCTGGAACTCACAGAGATCCGTCTGCCTCTGCCTCCCGAGTGCTGGGACTAAAGGCGTGGGCCACCAACTGCCTGGCTGGAACTTTTATTTCTATTTTGGAGTAATTTGCACGTGTTCAATCGCCATCCCACATTTATCCATTGACATAAGTCAATGCAAGATAACTGATAAACAACAATCAAAAACATATTTAGATGTTTTCTTTCAAACAAGGTGATAGCAATATCAGCAAGTGGGAATGTTTAAGGGTTAACTGAGAATGAAAGAGAGTTTACAACAGTGCTGGGCAAAGCAAATTTTAATACATGTTAGCTGTGTGACATAGAATCCCAGTAAATTCCACTATATGCTAAAAAAAAAAAAAAGCTAATCTGGGCAGAGTAGCACAAAAGCCTTTGGTACTGGGGAAATAGAGGCAGGAAGATATTAAGATTAAGGCCAATCTTGGCTGCAAGAAGAGACTGTTAAGGAAACCAAATACCAGACAATTAGAAGGCAAAAAGCATACCACAAAGGGCATTCTTTTAAGAAAATATTATGAAATGAATGTTTCTCTAGTTGTGAAATAGTAGCAACTCCTAAGATTACAAACGCTTTTTTTTTAAAACTCTGCTGAGCATATTTTATTTATGTATAAGGGCTTTGAAACTGTTAAGAGTTTAAAATTACTTCAAGTTTCACACCAAGACAGTTTCCCATGATAACTGACATTCCCAGCTGCTGGCAAATAGTTGCTGAGCTCTAGCAAACTGAAGTAAAAGAAAGCCAGCCAGATTAAACAAAGAGAAGAGGCTTTGGGATGGCAAGGAAGGGCCTATCTATAGGGGTCCCCAACTGTCACACTCACAGCAGCAATACATCCCCAGTGTACTGTCACTCAGCTCTATTTGGTTTCCAGGGAAACAGTTAATGAGAAGGATATAGTATAACCCCACCCTCCCTTCCAAAACTTGTGCTTCCCTTCACCCCTGCCCGATGACGGGGGAGTGGGGGGGGTAGGAGGTGGGGGGGTGGGGGTGGGATATCGTTGGTGCCGTAAGACCTGTTTTGACAAGTTGAACTCAGGCTTCCTTGTGCACATCCATAAATCTTTCCTGCCTAGAACAATATGCATCATATGTAAAGAACCTTTTGCTAAAGTTTCCCCAAAATTGAAGGTGGAATGAACTTTAAAGAAAAAACAGGATGTTATAAGAAAATTTACTTTCCTCATTTCTAAAGAGGCTAAGGTTTATAGAAGGTAATTCATTCTAAATTTAAAATACACGAAAAACGCTGCACTAAATACAAAGGAGAATATCTCAGTAAATCAAACATAGTATGGAAAAATACCAGACAGGGCTTTCAAGGAAGGACTTAGAATTTAATCCTAAACTAAACTAAACAAAAACTATGCTGGGTGGGGTTAAACAGGCTTTTAATGCCAGCAAACAAGAAAGGCAAAATATGGTTACTAATTGTCACCCACCTTCCTATTGGGAAGTACCCGCAGTTTATGTATGAGGTTCTCTTGAGGAAAGGATGAATGACACTTCAGATTCAGGCTTGGGTTTAGAACTTAGCTCCTCTACACCTCGGTATAATCTTGAGAGTCTCGTATAAAATAGAGTCTCTTTGTGTATGCATGTGTGAGAGAAACAAAGAGAGACAGAGACAGACATACACAAGTCTTCTTTCTACAGGTAACTAGATAGTTAATATTCATTCACCGGCCCACGGCGAGCACTAGTTTTATTTATTGTGTTTATTACATACGCATGCTGGAGGTCAGGACTGCCTGCAGGAGTCAGTTCTCTCCTACCATTAGGCTCTGAAAATCAGATTCAGGCCATCTATCTCAGCAGCAAGCACCTTCATCTATGGAGCCATCACGCCACCCAGCACTATTATTTATTAATACACTAATATCTACACTGACCAGAGATTGAAATTCACGTCTAACTCCATTGACAAGACAAATGGAGTCAAAACAGGTGCGGATCAACAATCCAGGATGAATGACTCAAAGTGAAGAGCAATGGTAAATTTTACCAAGGCAAAGCCTACTAACTAGCCATTGATTAAAAAAAAAAAAAATCAGAGCAGATAGGGCATGGAAGTATGTGTCTGGAATCCCAGAGGAGACAGAGGCCATCTAGTCATAGAGAGTTTCAGGCCTCCCAATGTTGAGAGTAGGAAGGGCCTTGGGTCCACAGATCACTGGAGGAACCAGGAATGTTAAACACTCAGGACTATCCTTTGAAGGGGCCGGACATACAACCTTCTCTTCCATCTAGAAAGCTGGTAATTGGAGGTGATTAACAGCCTGGTTATGTGCATTATCTTCTTACCAGGACCAGAGATGGCTAGTAATCTAAATGACCATTACCTGTTTAGTCAGGGACTTTCAGAGATGGCTAATAGCCCAAATGATCCTGCACTAGCTGTATGACCATGACCAGGCCAGATCCTTCCTTAGGCTTTAAGCTAATACAGGTAACTTATCTCTAGAACCCATCTTTTTGGAAGAAATGACATATACTTTGAATTGAGTTTCAATATAAATATGCTTCCTTTTGCACTGAGTATTGTATTATACAAGGAATCTTTTTCTCCAAATTGCACTGTGTCTAAATATGGTGGCAATATACTGTTACGAGTAAGTCAAACTGAACCAAGCTTGCATTCTTACATCTCTCCAGTTTATTTCCCTGCCTGACACCTACTGATACCCCAGGCCCACCAATCCCAGGACTACTGTGATAAGAACCTGCCTTAAATATGAGTATGACTACGTATGTATGCACTGAGCTGTAAAGCTCTTTTGGAAAACTGGCAAGTTTAACAAGATTTGTATGCTGGGATGTGGTGCCACCTTAGAGGTAGCAATTGATAGACTTTAGAGACACAGCAATAAATTTTGCTCATTACTCATTATACTATCAGCCACTCTGCAAAGTTGATGCCTGGGATGACCTGACAGGGTCCGGCGAGCTCTGCAGGTTCTAACTAACAACAAAACTGCTTTCTAGAATTGTCTGCAAGCACTGGCTAGTTTCTCCCAAAATTTACTTGTTACCTTTTAATCACTGACAAAACTAAAGAACAGTGGTAGAATGCTGGAATGCTTTCTACACACTATTCTATTTCATTTTTTACTTTGATAATAGAGTAGCTAAGAGAAGAAAAATAAAAGCAGAAAGATGAAAATAACATGTGCATCCTTTTTCACAGCAAAAGTATTTCAATCCAGGTGCTCATTCATGTACAGCACAAGCTTTCCCCACAAGGACAAGTCCACACCGTGCACAACACAACTACACGCTGAAGCTCTACACAGGTCTAACTGGCTACTTAGCCTACTCAACTGGTATTTTTTTGTTGTTGTTTAAATTTCTCAAATTAGTAGCTGGATCATGCAAACTGGTTAAGAAAGCACTGTTTATTGGCTACAAAAATCTTCAAAAGCAAAGAAATCTTTTAAAACTTAGGTTCAGGAAAGCCATGACAAAAATGTGTACTGGAGTGGCGGGGTCCAACACATGCAAGCACCCATAATTAATCCCTAAATCTTAATTTCACTCGTTACTTATTAAAGTCCCAAAGGGTAAAATTGGGAAGGATTTTACCAACATATGTGAAGCTTATGAGCAGTCTGATAAACACAGACTATGCCCAAACTCTAATCCACATGCAACTATTGACCAATGGTAGTCACCACAGCAAAACTAGTCAAACCAGCCTCTCCTAACTGGTACCTTAAGAGATCACTTCTCACTACTAGAAACACGAAGTTGGTGCCTACCAATGCTAATCTGGGGCTACTAGTATAAAAGCATACTATTTTCATTTGAACTGAAAGTAATTTGGATATTTATTCCCACTAGATTGAGCTATTATATACTAAAAATAAAAGAACAAATAAAAAAATAAAGCCAAGTTTCACATAATCATCCAGACAAATATTTTTCTATTGTAAATATTTACACCAAATAATGATTGATACTTTGCCTAAACTTTATACATAGGATGTACAATACTAAAAAAGAGGATTGTAATGCTCTCCCCCAACTTCCCATTAAACTCAAGATTCAGTGCTGCATTAAAAAGGCATGCAACAAGTTTGCCAGTCTCAAGCTGAACACAGGGCATGCCTTTGTTGAAAAAAAAAAAAAAGTAGTAGCAGTTACAGGGTTTCATGCCAACAAACCAATCAATGATCAACAAGGATGATTAGAGTCTAAATGGAACTAAAGCACAAGCTGTTTTCTTTTTTGATACTGACTCAAAAGCCAAAGCACACACATTTCCCCATGGCAGGGTCATACCACTGGACTTGAGCAGCTTGGATTTCTCTCTTTCCTGGCTTGCAGACTTTGGCAAATGTGGAGTAAATCCTCGAGACTTCGTAGGTCTCATGTAGCCTTTCATTGGCTCTGTCATTCCTTTTTTCTCTTCCTTTTTCCTTTCACTCAGCACCTTCAGTTCAGATATCCCCATCATCTTCTGAGGAGCTTCGATCTCGCTACCTGTGAACTGTGGGACTTGGGATTCCTTGTGAACAGTCACCAATTTATTTTCTCTCTCAATACTGCCACATGAGAAATCAGACTGTTCTGTTGTCAGCATGGCAACACATTCCAGTTTTGTGGCTTCGCAAGACAGACTAGGTTCTTTTAATTTATCCTTTTCATTTTCTGGAGGCAAAACAA